CCGAGGCCGCCTCCTCCGACATCTGCCTCTGCAAGCGTGCTGGCTGCTTCTGGCGGGTTTTTTAGCTCGCCCCTCGCACATGCAGCCTCTTCATGCCTGGCTTATTGCTTGTCTCCGGCTGCGCGGTGGGAACGCTTTCCCTGCACTCACCACGATGGCTCCGGGTCTTCCTCCGAGCGCTCCGATAATTCAGACTCGGAGAATGCGGCCGAGCAGCTTGAGCGTGTGCGTCAGTTCGCGTTTGCTCGGCCTGAATTGCGTCTCCAGCCTTGCTCCCCATTTGTAGCTCTTTCTAATCTGAATAATTCTCTCTTGCTGGGATGCTTTTTCCAACCTCTCCATCTTCCCTCAGGCAAGTGAATGTGGAGGATGACCTTTTGTTCACGGTGGTGGGGGATGAAGCCACTAATGCATGGAGCCGGCCGCGCTCGTGTCCTGCCCAAACGGTCAAAGTCTCAGCATCCGCCTGGGTGCTGATGGCACCAGCCACCGTCCCTCCAGAAGGCAGGTAGCTGGTGGCTGGTACTGTCCTGCCTTGCAAACCGTGAGGCTCTGATGAAGCCGTCTCCATCAGTGACTAAACAGTCACCTTGGCGTGGCAGGCTGGAGCACGCTGTGGGCAGGACGCTGTGGGACCCATGCGCGGCTCCTGCTCCGGACACGTCACCTCTCCTCTCTGGCTTTCCCTGGATAAAATGAACGTGAGGATGAGGGTTTTGCCTGATCTGTTGGGGCTTAAAGCTCTTCAGGCAGGGACTGTCTGCGGCTCCGTGTGCATGGGCAGAGCAGCAATGATCCCCAGTTTAGGAAAGTCCAATCGCCTCTGTCTGAGTACTGCTGGTCATGATGGATGTAAGCAATGGGGATGGGGTTAATGTAAAGGTTTATATAAGCGCCACGATGATGTGGGGGAGGTTTCCTGAGCCGCACGTTTAGTCATTACTGCATTGTGATTGAACTATGCATTTCCCTGTGTTTGGTAACATAATTCCTCTTACGGGCTTTGGGACTCGTGATTTTATTTCTCTTCTGTAGTTAATAAACAATAAAAGTGGAACAAAGCTTTGCTGCTTCCATGCCCTTCTGCTGCTTGCTCCCTCCGAACCATCTCCAGCAGAGGCTGGAGCAGCTTCGGGACTGTGGGGCGAATACCTGTGGGCTCCCCAAGTGTGCTGGCATTAAAGGCAGAAAAAAGACACACAGGAGATGATCAGGTTAATCCAGGTCCCCCAGCGCTGTGCCTCGTTGGGTGGGCGCAGGGGGCGATGGGGGTTTGCCTTCCCGGCGCTGCGAGGTGGGAACAGCACGTGCAAAGCATCCAGCACCGGCTCTACAAATGTGTTAAGCAGCTGATGCCAGTTGGCAGTGAGTTCTCATGGAAAGTTTAGAAGAGGCAAATCCTTTGAAGAGAAACCCTTGTGCTTTATTAGGAAAAAATGCTCCTTGGCCCGTGCTAGCCCGGTCAGGGGAACCCGGAGCCCGTGTGTGCAGTCCAGGCAGGGGAACCTCTGCTCTGCTCCCCTGCTGATAACTTGGGAGGATGACAGCCTGCCTTTCTTTACTGTAGGTTTATTTTTATTGCAATTTAAGAACAGTTTATTTTAACCCCCATGGTGCAGACAGGTCCTGAGGGGAGCTCCTCGGGGTGGCATGGGGCGTGGGCGCACGCTCCTGGGGTTCCTGTTGCAGGAGGTCGTCGGAGGGGCGGTTGCCGCACAGGCAAGGCATGCGGTGTGTGCTGCTCTGCTGGGAACCGAGGTGAATCGGGTGCGATCAAAATACACAACGGAAATAAAAATACCCTGCCTGCAAGAGCAGCTGGAGTGCCCGGGGTGAGCGTGGAGCCAGAGCAAAGAGGGGCAGCCTGGGAAAATGAACAGCTTGGCGTGCCGGTATGTGCCTGATTCTCAGTTTTCATGGAAACTGCCTGTGGGGTGTGAGTTTTTCCTTGCAAGCTCTTGGATAGGGCCATCTTCCCAAGCCGAGCAAGCGCAGCGTGTTCTCGTGGCTCGCCGAGGGGCTGTGGTGGTACCCACGGCAAGTAGCAGCAGGACGGTGTCGTTTGGGATCTCCTGCCATGCAGTGGAGTAGGGAGCTGCTTGGGCGAACACGCAGTGATTCATGGCGCATCATCGCAGGAGGAGGCGGCGAGACTGAATCAGTGGTGCCTGAGGATGTGTGCAGGCAAGGGAATGTGAGTGCGGGCGGCTCCAGCCCCCTTGTTTTCTCTGGCGTCTTCCTTCCTTCCCTGTGCCCACCCGCCTTTGCTGTGCTTGGTGTGAGATGATGGGGGGGAAATTCAGCTCAATGTGCTGCCGAGCGAACGGGACAGAGCCCCCAGCCCTTTCATTTGAGCTGAAGCTTGTTTTCAATGACGGCGGGGAGCGGCAGGGCTGGCTGGAGCCCGCTCGGTTTGCAGCCCCGTTTCTCCCACCGCGGAGGTGGCTTGCCCAGATTTGGGTTTGCTGGGTGGGGGTTTTGGGTTTGACACCCTGATGAGCTGTTTTGTCTTCAGAAGCACTTCCACGGTTTGTCTTTCAAAGGTGGTGAAAAACCTGGAGCTGATACGGGAGCCTGGGAGGAGCCTTTGCTGCCAGGGGGGTCCTGAGCACATAGGAGGCAGGGGCTGGGCTGTGCCGACCGCTGACGGGGCCGGTTTCGGAGCCCTAAACATGAGGGTTTTAGTGAAGCTAATGAGAGTGTGTTTAGCTTTGCACATAACTAATTTCTCTTGCAGCGTGTAATGGCTCCTGGGGGAGCTGGGCTGAGCCAAGGCACAGGATGGCAGCAAACGCCGTCTGTCGAAATCTCGGAGGTGTCAAGCTGCTGCGGGGGGAGGTGAAATGTGGCTGAAAGCTGCATTTCCTCCTTAATTGCGACGAGGGCAGAGTGGCCCTTTCCAGGCTCCTTTCCTTTCCTGCGGGCAGGTGCCCCGGTGGGAAGCGGGGATGGGACGGTGCAGGGCTCTGGGGCGGCACAGCTCTCCCGGCTGTCCCCTGTCCCACACGGTGTCGAAGGGACACCTGGACATGGAGGCATGCTCCGACAATGAGAGTTCGGAGACCTGTGCCGGCTGCAAAGCTAACATCTAAAGCATCTAAGCTGTAAAGGGAAACGCACGTGACTCCTCTGTGCGTGAAACCTGGTTTTGCTCAGAGGCGGTGGCTGAGCCTCCTCCACAGCACTGCCCTTGCCCCTTGTCCCGGGGACACTTGTGTAACTGGGGGATCTGGTTACTGCCTGCTGCCGTGTCCGGGCTGCTGGGCTCTGCTGCCGCCCCCGTGCTGGAGCCCTCCCCTCCTGCTCCCGTGAGAGCCGAGCAGGTATTGCAGTGTTTCCCGTCTGAAATGATACAGGGTCTGATCTCAAGCAGCCCTCCCTTGGAAGGGGGACGGGAGGTAACAGAGATGGAGGAGCTGAACTGAGAGGAGCTGTGGGCTGTTGGGGGTTTCCAGCAGATTGTCCATCTGCCGCCATCTCCCCTCTGCAAAGGTTTGTGCTCTGGATTGTGCTCTGGATTACTGCGGTTGCAAACTCTCCTGCTTCTGAAGCTGCTCTGAAGCCAGTGGGAGGGCACAGTTGTCCCCAGGCTGGTACCCTCAGCTGGGGTGGGATGGGTAGCTCACCCTTGCTGAACCTCAGGGAAACACAAGGTGCTTTTCCCATTCCAGCCTCCTCGTTGCAAGCCAAGAAGTATAAATCTTTCTGCCCTGGATACTGGAGCTAAATTAGGGACCTGGGCGGTGTTACCACACACCTCCAAATATGTTTGATGCGGAGTTCCTGTGACCGGAGCAACGCCTGTCACGCCAGGCCATCAGCCGTCGGTGGTTTCACTGCTGGCTGTGGCGGAGGAGGGAGCGGGAGGGAAAGTCGTCGGCTGCGGGAGCTGTCAGCTGCCGCCTGAAGAGGAGAAACTGGTGAAGCGCTGCCCTCGCCCTGCCTGGACCAGGAGCAGATGGTGCTTTCCCACCCCTGCACTGTGCTCGGCACGTCCCCAGCTGCCCGGGGTGCAGGGAGCCGGTGCTTTGTGCTGAGGGCAGGACAGAGGTTGTGTGGGTGCAGTGGGTGATGCTGGGCCTGTGGGTTGCTTCTACCATGGTTTGGGCATTGCCATGTCCCTCCTGCATCCTCCTGCGGTGGTAATGGCCTTCTCCACGCAGCCTCATTGCATCTGGCCTTCAGCTCCCCATCATGCTGCTGTCACCTGCCACCAGGAACATTCCCTAAATAGACCAAATCATTCTCTTAACGAGGCTTAATCTGTTCCTCTCCCAGCCGGGCGAGCAGCCTCTCCATTGCCTCTCCGTCCCCCGGCTGGCAGGGGAGCGGAGCGAGGCCGGCTGGTGGTGCAGCTGAATTGCAGCCAGGGCGTTTTGAGAGCGCTGGGGCAGCTGTTTGCTCGCCTGTGGATGCCTGAGTACAAAAGCAAAATTCAGGGCTGTGCTGGTACAGGTAATGGAGGCTGCTGCCTTCTAGTTCATTAGAAATACAATTAAGCTCCTTTAAAAGTGCTGTGAGTGACCTCTAAAAATTGGATATGTATTTCTGTACATCTCCTGTTTGTCTTGTGCAGAATGATGTTAACCGTCTGCTTCCTGCTGTTCAATTTTCCCAGCACGTAATTACAAATTGTGTTTTTTTTTCTCTTCAGCTTCCTGGCTCCCTGCACCAGGCTCTTCGGAGCGGAGCTACAAATAACCAAGCTTTTCTCCAGGCCCCTTCCCTGCCTGCACGGCTGCTGGGGGGGCTGGCTCTGCACTTGCTTATAGCTTCGGCAGGATCTTGTTTTTAGGGTAATTAAGCAATAGAGGAGCAAGGAGGGGCTGTCCAACCTCCTGCCCTGTTTTCCTTTTGCCCCGAGGCTGTTGGTGCAAATGATGCCAAAGGGTTGTGCAAAGGGTGGCTCGGCCGCTTTGGTCTTCACTGACCTTCCAGATGGTTTGATGCCAGAAGCCACCCCACGCCCCATCCGCCGGCACGGGTTTCCTCCGCCTCGGGAAGCAGGAGAGCCGAGGAGGTGGGAGAGGTGTGACCCAGCACCCAAGTATCGGGGTTACGGGTGGGTGGCTGAAGAGCGCATCCTATTTGTCCCTTTAAGGGGCAAGCACGGTTGCAGGCAGGAAGGCAAATTGCCGTTACTCTGCCAGGGCTCATTGCGAGCGTCGTCAGCAAGCGTTTCATTTATAAACAGGCAGTGTGCGCCTTTTGGGGCTGCAGCAAGCATTAACCCTTGTTCCTGTGAAATCCCCCCTGCAGCAGAGGGGTCCTTGCCATGCACTGGGCATCGTTTTGGGTCCTGCCAGGCCAGCGAAGCATCCCAGGGGCTGACACTCCTCCGCTTGCCGGCTGGGCGCTCTCCTACGCCGAGCAGCCCCGGGAGCTCGGCTGGGAGAGGGCAGAGGGGCAAGAAGTACGTTTCTGTGTCTGTCTTGGTAAAATGACCAAACCCACTGTTTCCTGCCGATGCACACGGTGGGTGGGATGCGTTTCCACGTGCCCCTGCCCGCTGCCGCACTGAGGTGCAGACCTGCTCCAGGGCGTTTCGCCAAGCCTGGCCCCAAGAGCTGTCAGAGGCAGGAAGGAAAAAGAACTACGCTCAAGATAGACACGTTTGTTGCTCTATATTTAGGAGTATAGTAATTAAGGCTGGTTGTTTATCCTGACAAACATGGTAATTAATAGTCTGTGGCAGACGAGCAAATCCTTCCTGCACCTGGGAACCGAGTTGTCTCTGGGAAGGGCGAGGGCCTCCTTAAAGAGCTGCTGCTGCTTGTGAGAAAAGCTGCTATTTAGGGAACATCTGGCTGTTTGTTTTGTCCCCTTCCCAGGCACGCGTGGCTGGGTGCTGGTGGCCTCTGAAGCTGTGGTGAGGGTGCTGGTGTGCCTAGCCCGTGTGTAAGGGCCCAGAGCAGGAGGGTCCTGCCAGTCCCGTGGAGCAGAAGGCTGATGTACGGGAGGTGATGGGTGGGCAGTGCTGCCGGGGGGGGGCTGCGAAGAGGAGAGCGAGGATGCTTGGTGGCACCCAGGGGTGCAGTGGTGTAGGTACCAGTGTGCAGAAGTTTGCTTATAAATGCAGTAGGAAGTCTTGCTGGTTGGTGGCACAGGCTGGGTGGGCACCGGGGAGGCATCTCAGAGGGCAGGGAGATGGCAGGCAGCCGTGATAAGCTTTTACCAGCCTTGGAAGGGAGGGCAAGAAGCTTATGAGGACGGGAGGCTTCGTGCTCTTCCCACTAGATGGGGATGGAGGCATTGCACAGAGTGTGCTGGAGCTCGCCTCGATGCCGCCCACAGAGAGCACCCGTGCTCGGCCTTCGCCCCTGCGTCTTCTCTGGGTGGGCACTGTGCCAGCAGCCCGGCTCTCCTGGGGGGCTCAGGGCTGACGGGGTCTCGCTTCTCTTGCAGATGCTGCAGGACTGCCCGAAAGCCCGCAGGGAAGTGGAGCTGCACTGGAGGGCATCGCAGTGCGCGCACATTGTCCGCATCATGGATGTCTATGAGAACCTCTACCAGGGGAGGAAGTGTCTGCTCATCGTCATGGAGTGGTGAGTCCCCAGCGGTGCCACTGCGGGTGGGCTCTCCCTGCAGAAGCACCTGCAGCTCTGCGGGGCAGTGGGGTGATGCCAAAAGGGGGGTGAGCACCTTCCTTCACCCCTGCCGGGGTGCTGGGGACCCCAGGGAGATGCTGTGCCGGGGGATGCAGCCTGTGAGCTGTAGGGATGCAAGGCCTGGAAGAGGTGCTGCACTGCTGGTGTTGGAGGGACGGTGGGAGCTGCGCTGGCTCTGAGTCATTCTGAAAACTCGCTCGGCTGTCGGGAGGCTTCGGGCCTGTGGTTCTTGCTGCAGATAGATCATAACCAAACTCACTTTGGCCATTGAAAGTCGGGGTAGTCAGCGGGTTCCTGGCACCCCAGCAGCCTGCGGCGGGGTCTGCTGGGCAGCGCACAGCCAAGCCGAGCTGATGCATCTATTAACACCGTTGCACCTCTTGCAGCAGCAGAGCGACTCTGATTTGGGTAGATGTTTGATATAACCTGGGGAGGAGGAGGAATGAAGGGGAAAGTATTGAAACCACATCCCAACCGCAGCTGTGATTTGATGCAGCTTCCTTGCCAAAACCTCTCCTCTGGCAAGCTGGTAGGTTGCCTGGGGGGTGGGTGCAAGGAGCGCTGCAAGCAGTGCTGGGGCAGGTGGCATGGCAGCTGCCCGAGCGGCTCTTGTGTGGGAAGAGGCTTCTGAGAACCGCGCCAGGACGCTGGGCAGCCAGGGATGGGAAAGGTTTGTGCAGCGCATCTGCTTGTGTGGGAAGAAAGCAGTAGCTGAATGGTAGGAAACAAGTCCCTGGGGCAACGACAGCTCCCTGTAGCGTGTCTCTGCGATAGCTCCCCGCTGTCCAAGGGATGCTCTGGGTGTAACGCCCATCACAAGGCAGTGTTTGACTTTCAGCATGAGCACGGTGTGTCTCCTTGCGCGCTCCATGCAGCGGTTGGCCCCGGCAGCTGTGCGCTATCTGTATTGCAGATGTCCAGTGAATGTCAAGGGTGCTGGCAGGAGATGCTATCTGCCCTGAGAAAGCCAGAAACAGTTTCTGCTCGAGTTAGATAAGGCAGGGACAGGAAGCGCCGTTATCCCTGTTCTCATGGAGAATTATCCCTGATCTCACTCCTGATCTCTCTGGGAGCCGAGTTTTTCCTTAGGGTACCTGGGGACTCTTTGGCTGGGGAGGGAACCATGCTGTCGTGGTTTAACCTCAGCCAGCAACTGAGCACCACGCAGCTGCTCGCTCACTCCCCCCGCCCCGGTGGGATGGGGAGAGAATGGGAAGAGTGAAAGTGAGAGAACTCGTGGGTTGAGATAAGAACAATTTAAAATTGAAATAAAATAAAATACTACTACTATTACTAATAGTAATAATAATAAGAATACACAAAGCAAGTGATGCACAATGCAATTGCTTACCACCCGCCAAACAATGCCCAGCCAGTCCCCGAGCAGCGGCCCCCCCGGCCAGCTTTCCCCCAGTTTCTGTACTGAGCATGACGTCCCATGGTGTGGAATGTCCCTCTGGCCAGTTGGGGTCAGCTGTCCTGGCTGTGCCCCCTCCCAGCTTCTTGTGCCCCTCCAGCCTGCTCAGTCAGTAGAGCATGGGAAGCTGAAAAGTCCTTGACTAATGTAAGCACTGCTCAGCAACAACTAAACCATCGGTGTGTTATCACATTATTCTCATACTAAATCCAAAACACAGCACTGTACCAGCTACTAGGAAGGAAATTAACTCTATCCCAGCCAAAACCAGGACACATGCCAAGGTTTCCATGGTCCTTCTCCAGCACCTTACATGAGAGCTTGCTCTGCTGCCGTGGGGTTCAGTCTCTGCCTCCTCCATCCCATTGGTGAGCCCGTGTCAGTGCTGCTGACACCTTGCCTGTGCCACGATCTTTGCTCAGCACTTCTGCACGGGGTTAGCGTGCCGGCAAGGTGGTTGGCTTGTGAGCTAAATGAGGCCAGGCGTGCTGGGAGCGCTCTCGCCACGTTCGAGCCACGTTTGCTGTCTTTACTGTAAATGTGTTTCTGTGGGCTGGTGGGGAGACCACGTCCGTTTGTACCTGGCGTTTCTGCCGCCAGCGCGAAGCCTCCGCCCTGCTCATTTCTGGAAGGAGGAGGCTCTGGGACGCCCCGTGCCCAGAAGCACTGACCCAAGGGCTTGGATGGAGAAAGGGGTTTGTTTCTTGCTGAGCTTGTGCAACTCCTGGCTGAGCATCAGAGATTTCGGTACTGCTTGCGCCGGGGCGTGAGATGGGTGCCGCAGCATCTAATGCCGCCTGCTTCTCTTCCAGCTTGGACGGCGGGGAGCTTTTCAGCCGAATTCAAGACAGGGGAGACCAGGCCTTCACAGAACGGGGTACGGAGCCCGTGGGGACCTGGAGTTTTGTCTTTGGACCATTTCTTGCTGTTTATAGGAATGTCTCTGGTCCAGCTCATTCCCTGAATTGCTTTTTTGAATCCCCAGCAGTGTTTTGCTCTTGGGGAATGAGGAATGTGGGTGCAAGTGACCCTGCTTTTCATGCTCACTTGAGAGCAGGGATGTTTTCTCAGCTGCCCCTGCACTTTGTCCATCCCACTCCAGCACAGGCAGGAGCTTCAGTGACCTTCAGAAACACTCTCCTGTCTCCAAAAAAACGGAGACCAGGTCCTGTGGTTCTCACAGATCTCATGAATCTCATCCCTTCTGCTCCTGTGGCCAGGAAAAGTATCTGAGCCCATTGCCCCCACATCCCGCGGGGGACAGCTTTCCCAGCTGGTTTCCCTGCAGATTTAGGGTCCCTAGCGGTGCCAGGGGCTGGGTCAGCCCCCCCCACCCCAGAGCAAGCTTGGGGCTTGTGCGGTTGGGTATTGGGATCAGCAGCTGGAGCCTGCCCCATCCCTCTCCTGGGAGTTTCTCTCCCATTTGCTGCAGGCCTCCAACCCAGGGGTGGGTGCTTGGAAGGGGGAACTTCGGGTAGAGGAAACCCCTTTGGCCTCAGCCATGCTCTTTGGCTCCTGCTCTGTAGAGTAACCCAGGGAGTGGTGCTCATTCTAACTTGCTTATAAAGGCTTCTGATGGGGTTTTTTTGCTGCTTCAGAGGCTTCAGAGATAATGAAGAGCATTGGGGAAGCCATTCAGTACCTACACTCGATCAACATCGCGCACCGGGATGTGAAGGTACCGTGCTGCACGCTTGCCTGGCGGTGCTGAGCCCCGCTTGGCCTGTGGCAATGCTGAGGCTGCTCCGGCTCTGCCGCTCACTTCTTCCCCGTGTTTTCACAGCCGGAAAACCTCTTGTACACCTCCAAAAGGCCCAATGCTGTGCTAAAACTCACGGACTTTGGCTTTGCTAAAGAAACCACCACACACAACTCCTTGGCCACTCCGTGCTACACGCCGTACTACGTGGGTAAGTGGCTGGGGGGTCTGAGCTTGCAGGTTTTCAGGGCTGGAGGGCAGAGCTGGGGAGGTTTGGACAGTGCCACGTGCAGCCCGTCACCTCTGCGTCCAGCCCGGAGCTTCGTTCCCGGGTTGTTTTTGGGGCGACTCCTGTCTGGGATGCTTGGGACTGGGGGCTGTTTTGGGTGCAGGTGGGTGCTGTGTTTGCTGCTCGCTGGTGCGTGCAGGACGGGCTGCTCCGAGTGCAGTGTCGGTGTGCGCAGCCAATATGTTGCATACCAGTGCTGCAGCCTCCTTTGTGTTGCGCTCGAGGCTGCGAGGTGGCACCACCCTGCACCGCTCCTGCCTCTGCTGCCTGCACGGCCGTGCTGAAGCCTGCGCAGCAGCGCTCGCGCTGCTCCGAGCAGGGCTGCTGAGACTGCACGGAGCTGCAGGCAGCTCTTTGGCAGCTCCATGGGATGGCCGGATCCCTCTCGCCTGGCGCTGCCACTTTGACTCAGGACTTTGTTTCTCCCTTTACCTGCCCCGGAGGTGCTGGGCCCGGAGAAGTACGACAAGTCCTGCGACATGTGGTCCCTCGGTGTCATCATGTACATTCTGTAAGTCCAACGGGTTCCTCTCCATCCCGCTGGGGTCAGAAGCGGGGAATGCAGCTTTTGAGCTCATCTGCTGGCTGGCAGGGCTGAACCTTTCCCAGTTGCACTGCTCCTGCTCCTGGCACTGCCCTGTGCCCCCCAGGCACTGCTGGGAAGGTTTTTGGGGTGACACGTTGACTTTCTGCTCCCTCTCCTGGTGCAGGCTGTGTGGGTATCCCCCCTTCTACTCCAACCACGGCCTGGCCATCTCACCTGGCATGAAGAAGCGAATCCGAATGGGCCAGTACGAGTTTCCCAACCCCGAATGGTCCGAAGTGTCGGAGGAAGGTAAACGTGGTCCCCATGGTGGCTTCTCCCCGGACTGAGGTCTCCCTTTGGGGTCAGCCCTGTGTCCAGCAGCGCTGTGAAGGCTGGGGGAAGCCTGGGCACGTCGTGGGTCACCTCTCAGTGATGCAGCAGCTTCGCCTCTTTACTCGAGAGGGTTTTGCTAAAGGGTTTGACCAGGGTGAGGTCTGTGGCGTGGAGGGGATGGGAGGCACGTGCAGGCATTTTGGGGCCACTGGCTTGGGTTGCAGCGTGGGGAGAGCCACCCTGGGACCTGCTAACGCCCAGCCCTGCACAAACCCTTCCAGTTAAGCAGCTGATCCGCAACCTCCTGAAGACTGACCCGACCCAGCGCATGACAATAACGGAGTTCATGAACCACCCCTGGATCATGGTGAGTGCAGGGTTGATGAAGCAGTGAGATGGGGCAGGGATGGGGATGGGGCAGGGATGGCGACGGGATAGGATGCCTGCAGCTCTCGGCTGACGCTCCTCGTCCGCTCTCTCGGCAGCAATCCATGCAAGTGCCCCAGACCCCGCTGCACACCAGCCGCGTGCTGAAAGAGGAGAAGGATCTGTGGGAGGACGTGAAGGTAAAACCTCCCTCCGTTGCTGTCTGAAACGCTCTGCGCCCTGGGTGCCATCTGGGGACTGTCCGCTTCTGCCTTTTCATTCCCAATCTGGCTAATTCGGGCTCGGTGCAAGCGTGCTGGCTCCCGGGGAGATCCGCACTCGGGAGGGGGCTGGAAAAATTGGTGGTGGGACCCTCTGCTCCTGCTGCAATTTGTTCCCACTGGGGGTCGGAGGGGGGCAGCTGCCCTGGGGGTCCCGGGGGGCTGCGGGCTGTGCTGACGGTGCTGCCTGTGCCGCCTGCCCGCAGGAGGAGATGACGAGCGCGCTGGCCACCATGCGAGTGGACTACGAACAAATCAAGATCAAGAAAATCGAAGATTCCTCAAACCCTTTGCTGATGAAGAGGCGGAAGAAAGCAAACCCCACCGAGCCCGCCGCGCTCCCCCACTGAGGGTTCCCTACGCCCACCGGCCCTTGAGAAAGCAATAACTATATATATATATTTTTTAAGAAAAAAGACAAAAAGAGACAGACTGTTATATCAAGCGCATGGAATTCAGACATTTATACCAGACTAGTTATTTTTAGCTACTCACCTGTGTTTCTGACCTTTCCGGAGCAGGCGGTAAGACCCCCCTGTCAGATCCACACTCTGCGGCCAGGGGTTTTGTCCTGTTAGGCGAATGCCGCCGATAATTGGAATTTTTTTCTTTTGTGAAACAGTTTTGATTATTTTTTTTTTTTCCTTCCTTCCAAAGACATGGAAATTCCTGTGGTGACCTTTTTAGGATATATAACATATAAATATTTTTTAAAAACTACTGTAGAGCTGAAACCCAGACAGCGTGCTCCCTGCGTGAATGCTGGCTAGAAATGGGCTTTGGGCTTGGGAGCGGGTCGGGGAGACGGGGAAGGAGAGCTGCCTTCTCCCCCATCCCGCTGTGCATGGCAGGGCTGGTGTTGAGGGGTCCCTGTGAACACTGTGCTTCTTTGCTGGCCTGGAAAACTGCTGCTTTTAAAGCACGGTAGCCAAAACCACCCCCAAC